ATGGGCAGGTGTTTCAAGGCAGGCAATTGACAGTTGTATTTGCTGAGGAGAACAGGAAAAAACCAATGGAAATGAGAGCCAGGGAGCGAGTAGGAAGGTAAGTTTGGATTATATACATGGATTTTTTTACTCTGGATTTTACCTTATATCTGTTTTTATTAGAGCAATATACTTGAAGATAAATTCTTATATCTTATTCTAGATGGAATGCGGTTTATACCTGTAGCTGTCCTGATAAAGAATTCCTTTAAAAAAAATACACATTTCATATGACTTGGTGAAAGCAGTGAAAGCAATATTTTGTAGATTCCAACCTGACTTCGATAACAGTTTGACAGATAACTAAATAATCTTGATTTCCACTTTTGCTTTTCCAGAAATCCGTCTGTTCTTTTGCGAATATGATAGGAAAATTTTTATTCCACATGGGTGGATGATTTCAGTTTAACAGCTTCTAAACAATACCTTAATTTTTGTTGTAGTTAGTATTCTGTTTGCTCATGTGGTTGTCCTTTCCTTATATGTCTATTTTGATCAATTACGGGCTGGTATTTACTCTTGGATAAGTGATTATGCTGCAGGGCTGAATAAGCATCTTTCTTTCAAGTTTGTCAAGTGTTTGTCTGTAACGTGTTATGACAAATCTTTTTTTTATTGGTTGAAGTTATTGATTAAATATTGGACCTCTGGAAGGCTGTTGGGATGTTGTTATATATAGATTTGCAAGAGTAAGTTTGTGATTTAGCTGACATCTTAGAGAAGATTTATTTATTTCTAAATTGTGTATTCTGCAGGGGTCGTCACTCTGATCGAAGGCGTTCTCCTGTGCGTTATTCACGTTCCCCTCAATATTCTCGATCTCCACCCTCTCGCTATGCAAGGTCTCGTTCTCGAAGTCGTGATTATTATTCACCTCCTCCGAAGAGAAGACAGTCCTCAAGGTATAATTGTTCCTTGCTTTCATACACATGCACGGGCACAATGAAATGTTAAATAGTGTGAATGTTAATTTGTTAGATTTTTTTTTGATGCACCAGGATTGCTTGTCTTTTATGTAGCACCAGCTTCTTGTTGTTTAAATCAGGGGGGATACTAGATCTTTGCATTTTGATATCATGTTTCATGCCTTCTGGATCATTGAGCTTTCCCATTTGTCCTTACTCTTTTGCACCCCTACGTCAATAAGTTTTCCTATTTGTTCTTACCCTTTTGCACTCCTTAAATTCTTGCCTTTTCTCCCAATATATAATTGACAGATCTATCTCACCCCAAGAGAGGAGGTACAGTCGTGAGAGGTCATACTCCCGTTCTCCAGCAAGGGAACGTTCTCCTCCACCCTATGATGGCCCAAGGAGTCGCAGCAGGAGCCCTGTCAGGGAGCTTTCTCCACCATACAATGGGTCAAGGAGCCGCAGCAGAAGTCCAGTTAGGGGTCAAAGCCGGGGCAGGAGCCCGAGCCGTAGTAGAAGCAGGAGCGCTGATCCTGTGGATTACCGAAGGGACCTTGATAGGGATGGTTCTCCCTATCACTGATTCCGATGGGGTGCTTCTTTGTCATAGATATGCTGTTTTAATGTTAGTACCAGATCTAAGTTTGCTTTAGCGTCTAACTGGATTTGAAGATGTGTGCTGATTTTTAAACGTATTTAGATACTTGTGGTTTTGCCCTTGGTATTCTCGGATTATGTATTCAAGTGAATTGAACGTAGAGGCATAATGGTCATCTTCCCCTCAGTCTTACCTGGTAAGAATGAGAGGCAAATTCGCTTGAATATTCTTGGACGTATTTAGATACTTGTGGTTTTGCCCTTGGTATTCTTGGATTGTATATTGAAGTGAATTGAACGTTTAGGCATAATGGTCATCTTCCCGTCAGTCTTATCTGGTAAAAATGAGAGGCAAATTGAACAGGGGTTGTAACCCAGGCTTTTGGCCTTGGTGAAGGCAATCAGCTAATGGGTTCTTTGGCTTGGGGATTTGACATTTATGTAGTTTAGGAACTGAAATGGTGATTCTCGTGATCGTGGAAAGCTAGTCATGATGGTGTGCTCCTGCCAACTTTTTTCCATGGTTCCAGATTCGTCGTTCATTTTGTGAACTTGTATTGATACCCGGGTCCAGATCCTCCTGATTCTCCGCCAGTTCGTGTGAGGACTTGTCAATTGAGAGTGGCATGGAATTTTAATCTGTTGCAGCTCAGATTTTCAAGTTTATGTACAAAATTTGCTATCATATTTTACAAACCGGAGGGAATTAAGAAAGCGAAAACATACCGAGGTAAATGGGACAGCGCGTTTTCTATTTCAGCCTTCTTGGCGTGGTCTTCTAGTTTCTTAGTTGTTGTTGGATTGAAACATCTTTTAGGCGCATGTGGGGCTTAACCACGCGATTATTCCGAACGGCTCTTTTAATTGTCAAATTTGCTGTCTAATCCGTCAGTGTTGATTAAATTTTAGTGCTCAATGATTAAGTTGAGCCATTGGATTTTCTCTGTTTCAATGGATATCTTTTTCCAATTTATGACACCATTCCTATGACCTGCATAGTGCATGCTATCCCATTAAGAAATCTTTGTTTGGAGCCTGTAAAAGCATATCTAGCATGCATGTATGAATTCCTCGAAGCAAAACTACAATCACAAGGAGTTGCCAACATTTTAACTTTTTTAACTTTTAACTATAATCTTTGTTAACATTTTTCTGAAACATTTTAACTTTTTTCTCCCTTGAATTAAAGGAAGGAATACACAGGAAAATTTTGGCATTTTGCTGTCGAATCACGATGTCTAGTGGGCAGGCTAAGGGAGGTTGATGGGAGCACGAAGGCTTCCAAGAATTCAGCAACAAGCGTTGAGACAACTATCATGCTATTTGTTGTAGCACATGTGCAATTGCTACAACAAATAGAAGTATGTCTTTCTTGCCTCCACTTTTGTGTTAGGCCTGTCTATGGGGTCTTTATTGGTTACTCGTTCTGATGTATATTTAGGTGCTAAATTTTTCGAAAGGTAAGATTAATTAGACAAAATATTTAAATACAAGAGAAGATAATAATTATTAATACGTGTGTATATATATATATGAGGGGTTAAATAAAATTAATGTCTATTAACGAGTGCCTGCCTAATGAGCACTCGTTGCAAAAGTCCTTTTATTTTGATATGAAATTATTTCAAATAATATTTCGCTTACATTATAAACACACTTTCCAACACATCTTTTTATATTCTCAATCACCTTTTTATCTTTTATACATTACATCACAAAAAATATTACAATAATTATTCCAAATAATACTTTATCCAAACAAACCCAATTACTAGCTTTCTCTGTAATGTGCAGAGTCTATGACATTTGACAACAAAACCATACATTTATATACTTGAGGAATGTAGACACAATCATGGACGACAATTCCTGTTTCAAGAATTTGGAAAGTCTTAAATGGTAGCTTTCAGTAAACACTAAGGTTGTGTTTGGATTGCATTTTCCATGATTTTTCATGGAAAAATTACTGTAGCGATTTGATGTATGTGAGGGAAAAAGGTAATAGGGAAATGTGATCACGGAAAACGACGAAATTTTTCAATGAAAAACCGCAATCCAAAAAATGCTTCAAGAATTCAGAATGCAGGTTTCAGTAGCTTTCAATGACCATATTATATGTACACTACATGTTCCATATTGAATGCCACTGAAGCCAAATTTGGGAACTCTTGAAACGGAAACTGTTGGACTTTGATTGCACCTGCTTTCTCCAGAAGAATGTGTTTAGTTTATCTAATGCTATCTGGATCTGTTCAAAGGTTAATTGCTTAGTTTTACTATCTTTTTAAGGACCACAGTCAAATTCTGTGAGGCCTGCATTGTGGGAAGATGCAGGATTAAATAATTATGCTCGAGACACAGGAACATGCATTGGATATCTACCATGGCCCAGGCGTTGTTGCTCATAATATCTTAACTTTAACTCAGCAGTATTTCTTTTTTTTTAATCTTAAACAACCATAGCCTAATTCTGAATTGATCTTATGTCCATCTATTATAGCATTTGATTAAGGATGAAGAAGTGTAAGATTACCAAGCATGTTTCTTGGATTTTTAAATGTGCTCTTCAAGTCCATGAGGGAGTAAAACAACAAATATTAAAAAAAAAAGTTACTATTTGAAATTAGGACAACCCCCTTCCAGAGCAAAGGGATCTGGAACCGGATTAGGGGTAAATTGTATAATGCGAACACGAATTGAATTTTCCAAACTATCGTCAATTATTCAGGCTGTCTGTGTATGGTGGTGGTCTCCTAATTTATTGTGAAAAATAAATTAGGAGACCACCACAAAAACTTTTATAGTGAAAAAAATTTTGAAAAATAATAATCCGAACGAAAAGCCCTTTTTTTTCACAAAAACTGACGCTTAAACTAGAATCCGTTACACATTCAATTGTTTTAGTATATTTTCTACAAAAAATCAAAAAATTGCAACCCAAATGAAAAACACTTTTTTTTTCACAAAAATTGATACTTAAACTAAAATCCTTTACACATCTGTCGTGCAAATTCAAACACTTCTTCAACATCTGTTTCACTTTATCAAGAAAGAAGAAATTTAGTCATAATATAATTGCACCCAACATTTATAACCTGGTAGAAGAAAAGATTGTAACAGCCTAGTTACATCATGTATGGAATGTGAAAAGTTGCCATGCGACCTGTGACTCTTCAAAGTCCCTTATTTTACTCCTCAATTAGAGAAAAAGCACAAATCTTTTTGGAGGGAAATCATAAAAGACAAGGACCTCATTTGCGGCCAACTCATCTACTACTAATATTATGCCTCAAAAGAAAAATGGAAATCCATTGCACCACCTGCTTTGCTGTACTGAACTAGACTAGACGCATGGTGATAATCTCAATGCGTCCAAGAAACCCAAAAAAAAAAGGACAAATAAAAGAAGAATCTTTTTACAATTTTGGTATTTTATTTTTTGATCCAAGCACATATCAAAAAGACAAAGCTAAATAACAAAAGACACTACTGTAGTGTAGTCAATGTCTGGAACTGAGAAGTCCGAGATTTAGTAGAGCCTTTACTAGAAGCTCCCTGCTCCTTTCATCCCAGATCCTTTTAGCTTCTCCCTAACGTACTTAAGCTACATTTTCATAGTTTAGTACTATGTTTGTATTTATTTTAATATAATATGTGTACGTGGGCTAAAATTGTACTAGAATTAGTATACTAATTTTGGTTGGTGGGGCCATGTTTTGGACAGTAATAATTATGTAATAAATTGAAGGTTTATTTGGGGAGTGTAGTTTTAGTTTCCAGTTTAGTTCTGTGGAGCTCTCTAGGATTCTGTCTTTGGTTCTGTTTTGTGGGTCGTCAGTTTTTTCTTTGAAAAGTTTGGTAGTGGTTTCACATTACGTTGTGACTTTCTATAGGGCTTTGCTGAGGTTTTCTAGATTCTTTGTGAAAGCAGATTTCTTGGATGCTGCAATTAAGTTGAAGATAAAGGTACTTTTTCATTTTCTGCTTCTATTCTCTAAAAATTGGTTCTTGATTTTCTGCTTCTGGGTTTTTGCTAAATATTGTGCTTTTGAGGGGTTTTTGGAGTGTGGTTTTTCTCAGTGGAGCTAAAATTGTAGTGGGTTCACTTTTTATTCTCTTCTTGGTTTCATTTGTTGATTTTCAAATTTTTGGAACATAGTGTATGACAAAGCTAGTTTCTTTCGGCATTAGTGCTCTTTTGAGGGTCTGAAACAAATTTTGTTTTTAAAACATCTAGTCGGTGCTCACAACTTTTGTTGAGGTTTTCTGTTCTCGCAAGGATGATGTTTTTGCTTGCTGAATCTTTGCATTTTTTTGGTGTATGTTCTGTTAATGGCTTATGTGGATTTGCTTTCTTATTGTTGCTAAGGAAACTGATGGTGATTTTTATAAAGTTGCTAGCTTTTTCACTTTCTTACTTCTCTGTCTCTGTTGAACGATCTGTTCTAAAATTTCTTCAAGCTGTAAGGTATAGAGTGTTTTAAGACTCAACAGCTATTTGCTGTTTCTACATTTTACTTGTTTGTCAATAGACACACGAGCTATTTCATTTGCTATTTTGTTTATTATGAGACTTGTTGAATCTTTTAAAAAAATTTGGCCATTACTGTACATTAGTTTCTTTCTTAATCAGTTTTTCCGCTTCTTTCTACAGTTAGTCTAAAAATTGATACTTTGTTTAAATGATATTACTCCTAAAAACTATGACATACTTTCTTTGCTTTTCAGTCATAAAAGTTGATAGTAATGCTCTTGTCTAATGGTGGGATTTTCACTTAAAGAACTTTAGTGGTAGCAATAAGACCAGCTCTCTAATAAGGGAACACCATCTTTGGCGACTGGAAACAGCATGTAATGGAAATTAATTTTGATAAAAATGAGAAGTGCATAGATGAACTCTGATAAAGGTAAAGCAAGAAAGGATAATCTAAGAGATGATTATACAAATGAAACGGTACACATGGATTGTTGGAAAATAACAAAAACAGTGGCAGTGGCAGAATTACCTTAGGGAAGATAATATTGTATAGATGGAGTTGTTCATTTTACACCAACAGGAGGTAGTAATCTTTTAAACATAATGTGGTCAAATGTGGCTCGACAGTGAACATAAACCTAGATGGAATAGCATGCAGAAGTACATTTGGTACTGATTAATGGTAATATGGGATAAAGGTTTTCTGGATTATGGAAATTTGACAGCATATTCAGTGCAATGCTTTCCTTAATCTGCTTTTTAACTTTTCCTTGTGCGGTCTTCATCTTGCTGTCATATGCTTGTATGTGTATGTCAAGTGGATATCTTGTATAGTTCTTTAAACATGTTAATGTTCACATGCACAACTCTTGTGGAAAAATAGATTTTTATTTTTTTCTGCTTCTAATATTTCGTGCATTAGCATACTTGATAAGTTATTCTTTGACCATAAACCTTTCAAAGTTGGTAGGCAACAGAGACACTGCTGTCCTCCTATCATTAGAAACCATCCAGTCTTAGACCATGTTACCATTGTAGCTTAAAACAATTCTACTACCGGCTTTCGTCCTGACGTAGAGAACATTTTAGTGCTTCTCATACGGAAAAAGCAGCCACCAGATGTGGTTCAGCTGTGTCGTGTTATCATTTTTGGGTCAAATTTTTAATTAGAGGAGTTGTTTAATGTTAGTCTAGGTGTGCATAGTTTGGCCGTGTGCTCTGCATGGTGCATTGCTGCAGCTTCAATGATCATTCTAAGAATAATTAGAGTCAGCGACTATAGATGTACTACCTGCTTGATCTGTCTTTCTGAATTGCCACTGTTTCTTTGAGATGAATTCCAGTTAGCCTGTCTATGAGAACTTAAACAGCATGGGTTTCTTTTGAACCTTGATCATCTTTCAAGGTTTGAGGCTACACTTACATGATACAAGGTCATTAGTTCTTCAGTTAATTTTCATGCTTTACCTATAACATAGATCCATGTAATAGACAATGTACCGTGTGTAACCACGATTTATCTGCATCTTTAGCAGTCTTGCTAAAAGAAAGAAGACAGATCTGCAGTGAGTCAAAATTGTACTTTATGGTGGAGCCAAGGATGCTCAAACTGTGGCTTGGTATAATTATATTGTTCATCACCTGTCTCTCCATTGCAGCAGGTAATTTGATTCACTTGTACTTTCTGAGTTTTTCTTTTCTTCAAAAATAGATTTAGCTTCTTTATCCTGGCAAGTCATCTGTGCATCCTTTTTATATAAGACTGCATTCCTGAAAACCATGGTGCCAAAAGGCCACTTGTGTCTTTAGCTTGCCTTTGCATCATCTTTTATAGTCCCTTTTTCTTTTGTCGGAGCTGTGATATTGGCTTTGTTATTGGACTACATATAACTACATAGAGTAAATAAAACATGGCAAACATGGAAATCATGTTTTATGTTTCCCTTATATGGAAAAAATGGACCTGATGCCTCTATATGTGTTTTTAATCAAATTGCACCTTCTATAATTATGTCACTGCTATTAGTATGGCGGTCTTCTCAGTTGTGCACGAGTTAATTTTTCGTTCTTATGGGTTTATTACTTAATAATTTTTTGTACGTCATCCCATAATAATTTGTTAAGATGCTAGAGGTTAATATATTTTGGCTGCATCTCTGTATCTCAAAATATTAGTCAAATGCATCAAGAATTGGAGAATTGTTTTGCATTTGGTTTGAGATTCATGCGCATGTTGTTAATTTGGAAAGCCTTAGTCCTTATTGACCAGTTACTGTATTTTCTTACAATTGCAGTTTTAAATCATCTTTAAATTTATTTTTAATTCTTTTGGATATATGCTTGAGGGAATGGAAAACCCTGTCCTCTAAAATTCTTGAAAGAACTGTCAATCCAGTGTAACCCAAGGCAAATTTTCCAAACAGTTGCACTCATCAGATACTGGAGATATTTATAGGTAGTATGCCTTGTTACCTATTTTCTTAGAGGAGGTTTTTAATTTAACACATTAAGTCTATAGTTGCTGCCTAAAAAAGGCTTGCAATAATTCTCTTAATGGTCCAATATTTTGAGTTTGTTAGATCTGCAGATGACCATTAAGGTGATTTTATTGTTGCCAAACTGAGGAATGGATAAGATTATAAAGCTATGAATATAATTTGGATTTAAAACAAATGTTCAAATATATTTTGATTTATGAAGAAAACAAACCTGCGAGTGAGGATTCATATGGCCAATCTCATGTTCTGTTGGCTAGAAATTTGCGATGTTATCAGCCACTATTATATGCATTCCTGCAAGATCATGAATTTCTGTTCATATATGACCAGAAGCGATAGAAGTTTCTCCATATTTTGCTCGGATTTTGTAAAATGGTGCCTTCTTATTGGCTAGCTGGTTAAATGGCATTTTATGTAGCCTCTTCTGAAACCTGCTTGGTCAGTGTTTATATGTTGTTTTTGTTCCTTATTAAGGATGCTAGAATTTTCAACTTATACTTCTCTTATCAAGAAAGTATCCAAATTTGCTTTGTTTTGACTAGTGCATTAACTTGGCTTTATGGCTGCCATATATACCGGAAAACATATTTAGGCTGTTGAGAATACAATGGATTGCTGTACTAACAGACACCTTGACATCTGTTAGGGACAAAGATTTATTAGTCTACCATTTAGTCCAAGACTATTGTTATGCTTTCTTCTTATTGAACATTTATCAAACTCTTGAGCTTGTAGGAGCATTTGTTGGTTTTAACATTGGCACCGACCTTTCAAACCTACCATCAGCAACTGATGTGGTTGCCATCTTAAAAGCCCATCAAATAACTCATGTCCGCCTATTTGATGCTGATGCTCACATGTTGACTGCTCTCGCGGATACTGGTATTGAGGTCATGGTTAGCGTCACAAACGAGGAGATTCTGGGGATTGGTCAAACTCCATCTGTGGCAGCGGCCTGGGTGAATAAGAATGTTGCTGCTTTCGTTCCCTCAACCAATATTACAGCTATTGCTGTGGGCAGTGAGGTTCTAACTACCATTCCTAATGCTGCCCGTATTTTAGTTCCTGCCATGAATTATCTTCAGAAAGCTTTGGTTGCTTCTAACTTAAATGATCAGATTAAAGTTTCAACCCCACAATCAATGGATGTAATCCCTAGGCCCTTTCCTCCATCAACTGCAGCATTCAATTCCACATGGAACTCCACAATTTTTCAGATGCTTCAGTTTTTGAAAAATACTAATTCCTATTACATGTTGAATGCCTATCCTTATTATGGATATGTTAATAGCAACGGCATCTTTCCAATTGATTATGCTCTTTTCCGACCACTTTCCTCAGTTAAAGAAATTGTTGATCCAAATACCCTTTTGCATTACGACAGCATGTTTGATGCTATGGTGGATGCTACCTATAACTCCATTGCAGCATTCAATATCTCAGGCATCCCGGTTGTTGTGACAGAAACTGGCTGGCCATGGCTTGGCGGTGCCAACGAACAAGATGCCACAGTAGAAAATGCTGAAACTTTTAATAATAACTTAATCCGGCGTGTATCAAATGACTCTGGTCCTCCTAGTCAGCCAGACATTCCCATAAACACTTATATCTATGAATTGTTCAATGAGGACAAAAGGCCAGGGCCTATTTCAGAGAGGAACTGGGGAATCTTTTTTCCCAATGGAAGCACGGTATATCCAATTAGTTTAGGTAGTTCAGTTAATGTCAGTACAAATTCTTCAGGTGTATTTTGCATAGCTAAACAAGATGCTGATTCCAAGAAGCTGCAAAATGGACTTAATTATGCTTGTGGACAAGGCCAGGGTAACTGCTCAGCCATTCAGACAGGGCAGCCTTGTTATTTCCCTGATACTTTGCAAAATCATGCTTCTTATGCCTATAATGATTATTATCAGAAGATGCACACCTTTGGTGGAACCTGTGACTTTGATGGTACAGCAACAACTACAAGTCAAGATCCAAGTAAGCTTCTCTATCCTTTTATCGCCATCATGCCTGAATAAGTCGTCTTTGCCTTGTCTACATCTCATGCATGCACTTATTCATTTACATGGATTTGTAGATGAAGGTAGTGTAGATGAAGGCAAATGTATCTTGTTTTCTGTTTCTTTAATTTGTGTTTTGATTTTAAAAATAAGGAATTGGTGATATAACATACTTGGAGGAACTGCAAAAATAGGTTGCACTGAATTTTGAAAATAGGACCTCTGCTTTGAGTTGGCTGTGAAACCTTTTCATTTGGAAGATGTCAAGAAGTTCTGTACTTGTTATTGCCTATTGAGGACTGACGTGTAAGACAATTTGGCTTTGATCATACGTTAGAGCATATTAGAGTAATAGGGAAAACAAACACTATTTGTGGTGTGACGCGTGAAAAAGAATGTTGGTTGAGCAAATTTTGTAGTGAAAATTGGGGCATGTGAAGTTGGTTTGGATGGTAATCAGCAAATCATGATTCTGAAGCACTATTTCTGTGGTGAATATCAGTGTAGAGAATTGTTGTGTTGCCAAATACCACGATGGAAACATGCAAATGTTTTACCCTCAGCATTTTGAATAAAGACGGTGGAAGTTGATTATCATCCTCTCCCTGCCCCCTCCTTTCTCTCTCCTGTCACATGAATAATTCCAAGTTTGTGCAAATATTTTCTGGTAACCATTGGTTACTCTCTGCTACATGTCACTAACAAATATGCTGTTGTGTTCTTCGGCAGGCTATGGATCCTGTAAATTTACTGGAAGGTGAGAAACTATGAACAACTTCAACAGAGATAATTTTTATTTCTTTTAATGTCAAAGGAAAAGATTGGGTGGAGTTCTTTGCTTTAATCCAACTCATGCTTCCAAACAATTATAGCTAACACTTTGTCATATTTATGTTGAAACAGTTCAAGTACAAGTGGTCGTGGTCTATTTCCACCTCCAGCATTGGGACCTGTAGGTCCATCCTCACAAGGCTCAAGCGTTCGAGCGTTCAGTTTTGGCTTTCTGTTGGTTGTATTTTTGTCTGTGGTCATGGCTGATGTTAGTATTTCCATGAGTTTGTAGCATCATTAAGCACAGAAATTGTACTTAGATGACAATGCAAGGGAAAATTTATCAATTTTTGAGTGTGTAGATGATTGATTGACATATTCTTTATTTTGCACCATCAAATTGTTTTTCTATGTTTAAGTGATTCAGTTATACTACAAACCAAGAGTGAAGAGTCTTAGTTTTGCATCCATGCTAGTGAGCAAGTATTGGGTGATCTTTGATGCCTCTGTTGTTGCTTGTCTGCTCGCACAGTGCAATGTACAGTTTGGCGTTATTAACATAACAAGCAGGCATGAGGATAAATTTGGAACCACCAATTTGTTATTCCTGCAGAATCTGCTGTTCATGACAAAGACAGATGTTGTGATTATGGGTGAAAAACAAAAAATTTCTTGTAGTATAATTATCTTACAAAAAAGTCCTTGCGATTTTAAATCATACATATCGGTATCTCATGATTTAAAGTGATTTAAAGTATTGATGTAAACGTGTTGGAACTGCGCGTGGTTCTTTTGAAAAATAGTTTTTTAAGGTAAAATTTAACCTGAATTATCTATTTTGCTCCTCATACCTTAATAAAGCAATCATAATTTCTTTTCAATTTTGTTCCAAACTTGCAAAAATCGACGATTTTTGTTTATATTATTAGTGAATGAAACTAATGAATCAAAAACTGTTTGTTTCAGGCTATTTTTTGCTTATATTATTAGGATATTTCTATCATTTCACTCAAAATCATTTGTTTTAACGATTTATGTCGATGTTTTAAATTATTTCAAACCATGAGGTATCGATACGTATGATTTGAAACCATAAAAGGTTTTTCTGTAAGATAGTTATACCACATGAGACTTTTTTTGTTTTTTACCCTATGATTATTGATCAGGTAAAAGGATAACTGCTTTTCCGCTCCTCTTGGAGATGATTTCACAAATGTGAATAAAACAAAATTAAAATGGATCTCACTTGTCCTCAAACAACAGAATAGGGGTCTCATTTGGGTAGAAATAGCAGCATACGCTTCAGGATTTAGGCACAACAAAAAGATTAGCTCCAAAGCAGCAAAACATGCATTGTGTGAAATGCTCCAAGATACATTTAACAAATTTCAACTTAAAGGCCTGATTTAAGTACATCAAAATGTTCCATATGCCGTGTATTTCATGTATCTCCTACATTTTGGCCTTGATTCTCATTCTTCAAAATGTCATTTTGTCTTCCCTTTGTTGGGAAGAAACCATCGTCTAACAATTTACATTTTAATATGCAACAATACAAAAGAGATTATGTAGCTGAATTCCAAAACCTCATGAATCAAGACACTGATATGGCGGTACATGTGAATTACGAGTCTTATTAACATGAGCTTGCTTCAGCTTTAAGAACCTGGATCACAATAAAAAAAAAAAAAAAGTCAACTAAATTGTCTGTAGAACTTAATGTGCTTGACTGCTTCTCAATGAGAATCCTCAAAGCAAAGATAGGAGATTACCAGTAATGTGAAGTTAGATATGAGCTACACAATTAAGCCATTGAATCACGTTCCTAGATGAGAATGTCATACATATATTCCCAATCCAATCTCCTTAGGATCTGTTTCTATCATCCATGGTGCCCTGTTGAGGAGAAAATCTTTTTCTGTTCAAATGTGGCAATTAAAATTGAGGATAAAAAACAGTCGTTTCATAGCAGATGTTTACTTGTTCATTATAAAATTCAATGTTCCTTGTGAAGCCCGCTTGAGAAGCATTTCCCTAGCCTCAACAGCAATACCCTGAGGCTACACACCAGACTAAAATTTGATATGGTATAACTACATCTACTGTATTATTGAATTTGAAAAGAATGATGTATATATATACCTCTTCTGGAAACCAAACACCAGGTTGTGTGCTTCCTTCAAGAACTGCAAGTACAAATGCTGCTGTTGCATTTCCAACTGATCTGCAAGATGTCTCATTAAGTTAGATAACATCAAAGGCATACTCCAGTCAAATGTCTAAAAGAAACTTCCTGTTTCAAGGTCAGTTTTTAAAACTCATTAGAACACCTATTCAAATGAATTCATTGGAATCTATTTGTCCAACTCAAGAAGGGCACAAAATGTACCGCGAAAATGGGAAAGAGACATTGAAGCAACAAATAAACAACCTGAAGAAAACATTTAAAGGTTCATCTATGCACTTCATTATATTCCATAAGGTCAAAATACCCAACCCACAATGGTCCCAGAACGAATTCAGCATTTTCATAGGAAGCTTTCCTCGGACAACAAGCAATACTTTGTGCTGAAAATAGCTGTTTCTCATTCAAAGACTTAACATTATAAAAGTTGTCATTAGCTTGATTTCATATTCTGTTTGTGCCTGCTAGATTGTCTTGAAATTTCTATTACACACCACAAGACCCGTGGTGGCCATTGTCCCTTATTGCCTCCGCTGTAACTCCAACAGAAGTGTGAATTCTAGCAAAAAAGCTTTAGAGCTAGACGTATCATGCTATGTGGTGAACCATAACAAAGATACATAGTTCTTAGTATGTGTCATCTATACAGATATGAAATTCTCTTCCATTTACCAAAATTAAAGTCTAACATTCAGGTTTCATCGACTAAAGATGCATGCAGGTACTCTTCACTCAAATCCAGCCAAAATTTCCTCTAATAGGGTGAACGGGTTACCCAAATAAGCAGCATGAAAAGAGTGATGAAAAACTTACTTAGAAAGCTGTCTATGACTGAATATCGCTATTCTATTGTATCCATCAGAACCCTCCAGATCAACCTGTTAAAATTAGAATAATGACCACATAACATAAATGGATCAAGCAAAGAAGTTCTATGTACAAGTCTGTGTAACATATGGATTTCAGATTATTATAGGTAATTGGAAAAGATTTACATCACCCGCATTGAAACTCTCTCTCCAGCAAACTTATCTACTGCTCGTACTAGTGGATCAAACGCTTGCACCAGTTGTTGAACTTTGCTTCTGTCTCTTAAAAATTCCTGCATATTTTGGCAGGATCATGCAAGGACAGTAGAAAGAGCTAAAGTTACTAGCATCATTGACTCATTATGTTCTCGGACAACAGAAGCTTGTCTAGCTTCATTGCTGCCTGCCATACTGTATAAACACCAGCGACATGCAGGGCATACTCATATTACCCTATCAATTTACTTCTCACTATTTCTATCCCTTTCACGCGAGGAAGACAAACAATGGACCAGGGCATGTGGCAGTCTTCTCCAGTCAATCAGAAAACTATGAATGAGCAAAGCACACTGATAAACTGCATGTAATTATTTCAATTTGAGGAATTTTATCAAATTGAATGGAAAAGACAATAGCTTGTGCCTAAGTTTACAAAACATTAAGCTGATAAATGATAAGAGAAGAGATGATGTTAAACAGGAGAAAGACCTACTCTGAAGCAATGAAGCAGTAGCATAAAAGCCCTCACTCTAAACTAAAAGCAATTGTCAACTGTACTTTGTGGCTAATTCTATGCAAAAGTTTAACTTTCTAATAAAGATGAATAAATTAATAAGTTGCATACAGCAGGTAGCAGATTTGTCATGGCCAACATTCCCCAGTTCCAGAAGAATGGTGCAGTTCCAAACCGAGCACTGACAGTTGGTACTCCAAGGATCTCATAAGCACTACGCACCTCTGGCAAATTTCTGAAGAATAAGAAAGCATAGAAGAAAATGAAAAATATAATCCAGTAGAACAACATCCAAAGAAAACGATTTTTTTCTATACTGTGTCAAGCAGCCAACGAGAATGCCTCTTCCACATTCGCAATCCAAAAGCCATCAACACCAAGTTAATATCATTTTTATTAAAGTTTTTTTCATAAAAATTACTTCAAAATTGGCCTAGCAAAATGGTTCAGTCAAATATGATCACAAGCACATGATGCAGGGGATGTCTTTGCAAATCACCGAAGTTACAGTCCCAAGAAGTTTCTTTCAAAGTAAAAACTAAAATTTCTGCCAAAAGTACTCATCAACACATGGCAACATTTTCCAGAAATCAGGAACTATGTGTAGTAAGAAAGAGATCTGACAAACAAGCTGTTAGTCAAACTAATTTAGAAATTCTATTCCAATACAAGGAATGTTGGTTGCAATTTCAGATGCAAATTGTAAAGAAATTTGGACAAGTTATCTAAAAGTACACAGCTCTTCATGTAACACAAGATCCAATTTGAAAAAAAGATTCCAAAGAAGCTCTTAGAGGATGAGAACCAAATCAAAGTTCTAGAATCTGCCACCAGGCTCGTCCTACTAACTATCTCTTCAACAGGGATGAATAGCTAACACCCCTATGTTAAATGGACAGAGGATATAAATTGAAGCTATTATAAGTAGATCAAATGGTAGGCAATGTACATCCATCGAAGAACTTTCATATGTAGTAGTTACACAAGTTTTTAATACACAAAAGACGAAGAGCAACATTCAGTTGCAAGGTTACAAAAGTAGCTTACAGTCATTAAATGTTAAGTGTCAGTGAAGAAGTTCCTAAGTTAAGAACTTACAAAAGAAAAACATCCCTCTTCCCGATCCCCATTCCAAAGTCAATGTTGAGCATTCCACTGTAGGGCTTTAAGTTGATTTTTTTCCCTGAATGTATAATCAAATAATTTAGTCAAATGCACAGTAACATTTGGTTAACCAAAGAAATAGGAGAAAGCCATAATGCACTTTAAACTCAGACCTTTGTTATATGCAACTACCTCTTCTCCAAGAAGTAAAAAGCTAGTAGACAATATTGTTGGGCCAGCACCACCAGAACCAGCTGTATAGTAGTAAAATCTACAAAAAGTATTGTAATCTATATTTATTAGTTCTTTACAAAAGTTAATCTATATTAGTTCTTTACAGTTGTGACAATCATAGGGTTATTAGTTGAACACATTAATAAAATAAGACTGATCAAATTCGAGCACATTGGAGGACAACTATTGAATCTGGATTTCTTACTTAATGCATGAATGATATGTAACTGGATCAGATTCGAGACCATTTTATACAATCAACTCTTGGCACTTGGAGCAGATGCAAACTTACTTTAGGCTCAAATGTGGAATTAGAATAGAAAATCCATGCATTAGATGGTAAGGTAAGAGGCCTAAGGACACCATGAGATATCAGATATCACATGTTTGACAAAACTTTCAAATGGCAACATTTTCCAGGTTTAAAAACAGCTTAGAAACTCTAAGATCTAAAGTGAATAACAAATAGTAGAGACCAAAAATAAAAGTGGCAATCCATGATTAGAGCATACTTAGAAGCTGTCGAAGGATGAAACCAAAAAAAAAAAAAAATAAATAAATAAAGTTGCAAATGGCAGCATAGGAAAAAATGGGATTGTAAAAGATATCCTGTGATGAAGAAAGTGGAATACTAGAAGAGGTTTAACTGTAAGAGAAGCACCTATTCGTTATATCTTAAGTTTTTGAAATTTAGATAAGCCTGTTTGAAATCACATCCGTCAGACCAAAGAAACACCAAAGAGACAACTTTAACATCTAACAAGGACACCAAATTACCTTAACCTCTCTGGTTTTACTTCGCTTTCACTTTTGGCCACACGAACAAGTTCTGCTGCCATAACTGCCCAGCGATGGTTCAGAAAATCAAGTTTTAATATATGGAGAAACATTAACAGTCAAGGCAAAATATTTTGCTTTTCTAGAATGATAATCAGGATTTGTTCGTTAAGAAAACATAAGGTTCTGCACGTTTCAAACATGTGGGAGTACAACTTTACCAGGAGGATCTATGACCTAAAATGAACAAACAGAAAGAGAATTTTTTCCAAATATAGGGCTGGAAGCATGGAAGAATCAGTGGCCATTTTGTAAGGAGTACTAAGATATACAACACAGCAAGTTATCGGTAAATAAGAGCAACTATTGGTGATCTCAGATTAGAAAAGTTTGAGTTTTGAAATGAAGAAATAGAGTTCCAGCTATCAAGAAAATTTTCATATAGAAAACAAAGACATAAAGCATTGCTCATGTAGTGTCTGCTTAGCAAGATATTGCTTTCTGCAATCCAATTTCTGTTTTTGGCTCTCTCAGTATTTGAAGCAGGCCTTAGAATGCATAGGAAGTTCAGAAGAAACTTAATAGCACCATTACTAACTCCTGGATAGATTCCACCAGTTGTTATGGCAGGAATGCCTGCAGTCACAGCTTCATCCATATAAGCTTTGGCACGGTATGCATAGCTTGTATCGTCACATACATCAATATATGCTGTCTGAGGATGAATAAACTAGTAAGCAGTGATTACATGCATTCATCAGAATAACTCAGCATTATCATATCTTTAGACTTGTGGGACCTAGAGTATTAGAAGAAACAGCATTCCGGAACTTATAAACATGTTGATTACCTTTCTCTCACCTTGGTCCGAATGGCAGCTTCCAGGACAGTGCACTTCTGAGCCTGTTGAAATGGCCCTGCAGTATGAAGAACAAGGTCCACATCTGCATTTGTACCCAGTACAAGTCAGGATTAGTACACTGAATTGATATAGTTAGCAGCTCTCAAGAATATTATGCAGTTCGCTACATTGCACTTTCTCCTGTTGCTTTGTAATGATACAGGATATAGAAAACTTCCATGGACTTGTTATGCTGAAAAAAAAGGGGAAGATGAAAGAGAAATATCTTAATTAATTACTGTTAGAAGGACATAGAGTTGCTTGGGTCTCCAAAATTCGCGGAAAATAAGTACCCATATTCAGGTTCATAATCAACATGAATTTTTTTTTCAAAATTGGCTATATTAACTAACACCACTTGCTCTCATACAAAGTACAAGTTGCATGATCTTGGCTTAGAATATGGCTATCTGGGAGCCAGCCGCAGTCGTTAAAATCATTGTAAACACAATTAAATGATATGGATGTTATTCAACTCAGAGCTTTGTATGAGAAAATTGATTAGTGAATCAGAAGCTAGTATATTTCATTCCTTCTGGCTCTCTGGGAATAAAGAGAAGCCTCTTGTGATACTGGCTGACTGACTATGTTTTAAGCACTGAATAAAACTCACAACTAGAAAAACTTGAGCTGTAGACTTCTTTAATCACATTAGCACAAAATTTTTAACATATAAACCAAAATTGGCCTGCTAATGAGAAGAAATTCCAAGAAAAACAGGAACCCAATACACATCAACTGGGCAAAATAACACATGCCCAACAAGTTATAAGCAAATCCCAATCAAATGCGCTGAAACAACAGGAACCAAATTTGTAAATGCTAGTGCAGACAGACAATGAACTACTGTAACAATAGAAGACAATACGCGTGAATATCCATCCCAAAAAGAAATCATCTTGCACGAATATAAGCAAATCAGAGAAAAGGAGTCAAAGGAAATACCAACTAAAGCTGCTTCCAATGATTTAGAGTCATCAATATTGACTGCAGTGAATTCTGAGTCGTCTCCTAATTTATCCACCATAGCAGCACCTCTTTCCCTGTAATATTGCACGAAGTATCCAAGAACACATGATTTCGGAGTAGTGAAAGGGATATGTTAGAATTAAAAACAATGGATGAATACTTTCTGAGCAGTAGTTATTCAATGAGGTTACCTATTTCGACCAGCAATGATTATCTGCAAGTCAGGGGAGAGTTTAGAGAGAGCAATAGCGGTGGAGCCACCAACTCTTCCGGTGCCTCCCAATATCAAGACTCTGGAATTCTTCTTCTTCTTCTCAACCTTTTCCTCAGGAAGTTGAACTGTCGTACTACTGTTGCTGCTGCTGCTGCTGCTCTGCTGGGCAACTGCCATTGCTAAACAACCACCTCTGCTGTTGATGTTCAATTGCACGCAAAGGGCACTCATTTCTCTCTCACACAGTCACACACTAACACATACAGCACACAGATGATGCAGTTTAGCTCCTTTCCTTTCCTTTCCTTTCCTTTCTTGGAAGGTTTAAATGAAACTCTCCATCTTCTTCTATCCCCCGTTCTGGTTCTATCTGGTTTAACGTTGGTTATGACGTGGGACTACATTGGACTTATAAATTGTGGACAACGGAGGTTCAATATTTGGGATCCGCCCCCTCTCCTCTTGGTTTCTGTCATGTTTTGTCCAATTGGATATAATTCTTGCAACATCCATCCATCAAGTTTTGTTCAATTAATATATAATTCTTACAAAAAAAAAAAAATAATTCTTACAAAATTTTAGTATGACTCGTACAATCTTGGTGTCATTGTGAAATTTATCATTTGATAAACTATAAGTTAAAGTTCACGATTATACCATAATTGTGCGAATTTGCATCAAATATTGAAAAAATTATGTTAGAATTGGACAGATCTCAATTGGAGAAACCTTGTTTGAAATTACTACTCCCTTCGACCCATTTTCCAATTGAAAAATATAGTTCCGTTTTCCTTTCCTTTTTCGATCCATAGTTCCGTTTTCCTTTTTCGTCTGTCCCAAATTGTAGTCCACTTTCCAATTGAAAAATATAGTTATCTTATAATTTTTCTAAAATATCCTTTTTCAATGTAGGTTGTTATTAGTATAAACTATCCTATTTAATGTAGATTGTTACTTGACCATCAATACAAGTTCCCATAAACCATCAATTCAAGTTTTGATAAATAATTAATATAAAGTTGTACTTTATTTAATGTAAGGGTATTTTAGAAAAATAGCAACCTAAATTTATTTTTCCAACAAAGTTAACTAATTTTTTTTTAAATTATGTAAAAAAAAAAACTAGTACTATCAAAACGGGACAGAGGGAGTATTTAACTTGTAGGCTTGTCTATTATAGTCTAGAGTTTCCTATCATAGAGTAAAGATTGGATTTTTTTTTTTAGTTCAAAAGCCATTTTTGTACGTATAAGTGAAGTGATAATTACAATAGTAATAATTACATAATGTGGCAACTGCTAATTCATTGTAAGTGAGGGAAGTGATGTTTTTACCTAACATCATTAACCAGTAAATTGGAAAACTTTGCTAAACCATGAATACAAAAGGTAGCATCTCCACATAATAAAGATGAATGAATAACACAAAAATATTCTACTCAAAAGTTTGATATCATCTATTACTATATTTAGGTGGGAGAATGCATTGCATCCAAGATTAATTATGTTAATTAGCACCTTATAATCCGAATGAATTAGCATTAATATTGGATCTTGTGGCAGCATATGTGGTTGGGTTTTATGCAGTTTCCATGCAGTTGGGGTATCAATGGAATATAGATAGGACACAATCATGTTATATTGTTGCTTCAAATAAGAAGGTCGTGTGAATTGCTCACCCAATATTATTATAAGAAATACAATACCCACATGGAACTGAACCAAACAAAATCATACTAACCCCAAAGTCCCTTGAAATCAAGTAAAGGAGTTTGAAACCCACTGATTTTCTTTGTGCTAAAACTAAGCTAAAAGAACTTAAAACTTCTTTTTGAGTTCCACATCTTTGAGAATTCATCCCAAACAAAACGAACCCGATACAAGTCCAGTAGCCTGATGTTAGCTTCTATGGCATAAGCTTTCTATGTTTGCACAGATATATATATATATATATATTTATTTATATACACTGACAGTGTATACGCTATCACGATTGAATGCAAGATATATATAAAATTTGAATTTTAAATTCAAATTTAAATTATATGTCATGTATCTAATGATAAAAATGTATACACTATCAGTATATAGAAAATTAATTATATATATATATACTTATTCATTTATTTATTTATTTTAAAGGGGTGAAAGTTGAACTAAAGATTTCAAGATTACCTAACTAATGTCCTTACTAAACTAAATTCGTGATAATGATGTGCACTTGTTTCACAGGGTATAGAGTTGTTACTACACACCCTGCGTTGGCCACCAATGATAACACGGAGTGAACTTCACCTAAACGTCATTAAGATGCAGTTTTTAGCTAATCAAATGCTGCAACTTGATGAGAATTGATCATTGCACTGATAAAACTCGTTTATTATCATTTTATACCCTGAGAGTTGCTTAAACCAAAAAAAAGAAAAAGAAAACGTGGAGTATTGGCCAAAAAAAAAAAAGGTAAAATACACAATATTTCATGCAAGATCCTTCAGGCTTGCACTAGCTTTTCCATTCTATGGTGAGCTTGAACCCTGTGAAACAGCTCAAAGCACTACCTTTGCCTGTACGTTTCAACATCCAAGTAAAATCTCATCCAATTCATAAGTTTCGATCATCTTTTTGCTTCCACTGTCTTGAAATTCACTAAACTCTGACTGTGTGTCCTAACACCTAATCAATACCACTGGCATTAGCTCCTTATCTAAGTAGCTGCATGTTTTGAATTCCCTGCTTCATGTCACAAAGACATAAATTCGGGCACAAAGACATTCCCTTGGCTGCAGCAGATGAAAGACTTCCGAAATAAACACGAACTGATCAAAATGCAACAAAGTATTCCATTTTTCTCAAAAGGGTGAAGACAGAATTTGAGAAGTATTCCATTTTTCTCAAAAGGGTGAAGACAGAATTCACAAGTAAAGATCTCATGGACTGTGCAGTCAACTACAAATCAGATTCAAAATGCAATACTGGACAATACAAATGTCCTCGAATTAAATCCACGTGAAGCAAAATGGTCTCATAGATTTACACTTTCAAAAATCCATCTATCTGGGGACCAGCAAACCAACTAACTTCATCTTGGTAAGACGTACTATTTGCCAAGAATCATCGAACGTAGAGAGATACTTTTCAGCTTGTAGCAAATTATAATTTTTTTTTTTTGGCCAGATGCTCCACATCAATAAGCTAGTAAAAAATCAAAATCTGAAAAAAAGAAACAGCAAAAATTCCAAACGGGCAACTGCTTCCAAGCATTCCTTTCAATTTCTTCGAATGAAATATACCTCTATCTCACATCTAGGATAAACTTGTTGGAGAAAAGAAGAAACCAACTTTTTCCTGTGTTGATTTACCATCCAATGCTCCTGGTAAATCCCTTATCCGCATCTGTTCTACAGTTTCAACCATCAGTATCACATGATGCTGATATTATTAGTCCTCACATATCAGACACAGACCACAAGTAGGCCTCCCTCTCTGTAGCTTGTTTCTCATTCATTCTCTTAAACATTTGCTTCTCAAAACCTAATAGATGCATAAGATCAAACAGATAATTAGTAGCAACAGTGATAACGTAAATGAGTTTGGACAAAAGCATCTTCATGGGGCCAATGTGCGAAACAACAGAAACCACATTACTGGTTATATCACTCTATAAAAGGTGGAAGTAAACTTACCACTGCTGCGATCAACGCCATCCCAGTGTCTCCCTGGTTTAATACCATAACGGTTTGGTGCAGCATCTAATCCTCTTCTTAGCCAGCTGTGACTGGGGATTTCCTGAGGAATGATGAAACCTGATTCTTTCATCTTCTCATCATCACCTAAATCTTCCATAACTGGCCCAAACTGCTTTTTCTTGACCAAGTGTGCCATAGGATCACCCCATCTGACTCTTTCCTTGAGCATTCTGTCAAGTTCAGGGTCATCTCTTCTTCTTGCAAATGGTTTGTCTTTCTCGCTCTCTAATTCCTGCAGTCTTGCTTCAGCTTCTCGTTTCTGTGCCAATCCTTTACCCCATTCCAATTTGACTTCCTTGGGCTTCTCTTCCTTCTTTTGCGATTTTAAGAACTCATCTTTTGACATTCTCTTACCTGTTACTTTATCACGATAGACAGGTTCAGCACCACGACCACTTATAGAAGGATCCATTTCTTTAAACCTCAACATATCTTCTTTCTTCTTTCTAGCGATTTCTTCTTTGAGGTCTTGCCCAGTAACTAGACCAGTTTTCACCTGCTGCTTTGAAGTTGGAGATTTCTCCTTCCTTTTTCTTGGAGGAGAAAGGTCTAAAGCAGAGGATGCTTGTACAGCATCATTCTCATTCAAGTGCTGAGTGGCCTGTCGAGCAGAGAGATCACTTGATACATATCTATCCTTCCTACCTTTCCTTGGAGGTGAAAGATCTGCCACTGGAGAGGTATGCAAATGATCTTGATGAAAGCGACGGGGAGGAGAGAGGTCAGAATCTGGATCTCCAGGGCTTGATGTTTCTTCCCTAGTCAATGGCGATGGAGACAGATGGCGTACCCTTTGCCGTCGTGGGGGTGAAAGATTCACAACTTCTCTACGAGACTCCGAAGGTCCAAACCCTGATTTTGATGATGAAGTATCATATGAAGCCTTTCTCCTACGAGGAGGAGAAATATCCCTTTCATCCTTTTCTTTTAGGTAATGTTTCTGTCTTTGCCGAGGAGGTGAGAAATCTGCACCTGTTGCTCTTGATCTCCAATCAGGTTCTGGTGAAGGTGAATCGTTTCGAGTTGTACGTGTCCGTTCTAGCAACGACTCAGCATCACCTGTGCCAGGAGGCCTTAGCATGGGTTCTGGAGAAGGTGTATCATTCCGAACTCTTCTTTTACGAGGTGGTGACAGATCAGCATCTCGTCCGCTAGATGACCTCAGATCATGTTCTGGAGATGGTGTGTCAGCCCTCCGCCTACGTGGTGGTGAGATATCCAAGACTTTGTCACTAAAGTTTGATGTTTTAGGAGCATCAGAGATTGAAACCCAACCACTTCCATCCTCAGATATGGAGCCAAAAGGACGTCTAGCTCTAAGTAGCTCCAATCTCTTCATTCGTTTGACTTCAATGTCCTCATCAACCAGGGGCTTCTCTTCATCTGCACAGAACACCTTACATTAATCACAACTTAAAAAATTGAAAAGTCTTAGAAGGTACACTGTCAAAGGGGAGAATTTTGCTAACTTACCGGCTGAATCATTCTCCTCTTCCTCTTCAATTCTCACTGGTTTTTGCCATATGGGATCTTCATCAACAACAACTACACCAGTATCAACCTGTTTAGCCTTCTTCTTCTTCTTCTTTTTCTTTTTGTCCTCTTCCTCATTCCCATCTTGATATCTTTTCAAATATTCCTTCAGCGACGAGGATGCACCAGCCATTTATTATCCTGCTTCAGAAGATTCAAAACAATAATTCATCAATCACCAATTAAAAACTAAATGTGCTAATTTCTTAATAAACTAGGTTCTCATCCATCGCCAGTTGTAACGTTGATTAGCTTTCATCCTACTGCCAAATGTAAAATCTCCAACCAATATCCCAGCTCCCAAGTGAAAGCACTACCATAAAACACAAAAAAAAAAAAAAAATTACCTACGCAATCTACAAAATGCTCATTTTGGATTAAGACAAGGGTAAAATACTAAATTCTTTGCAACTAGAAGTAGACAAGGATTCAACTTTTACATCAAAGACCTAGTTTCTTTCCTACCTCAAATTCACAATTGAAAACAACCCTACTGATCGATTGTATCATTGAGGTAAACCACATACAAAAGAAAGACAACATGCACTAAGCAATGTCATTTAATCAACCAAAATATGATAAAAGCATTTAAAACCATTAGCCCTAATCCACTCCTGATTAGAACGAAACCCACAGATACCAGAACTTGCCCTAATTAAAGTTCATCTCCCAACCCCTCTTCTTTCTCTCTTGTAAGGAAGAAAATAAATTAAAGTTCATCTTCCAACCCCTTTTCTTTCTCTCTTGTAAGGAAGAAACTAACGATTTCAGAAATTTACCCAATATTTTATAAATTCCAGTACCAAATCACTTGGTTTTTTGAATTATAGGAGGGTTTAAAAAAACCAGGAAGATACGGCAGTTGCGACGGCGGCGGCAACGGCGGCGATCGAGAGTGCAGTGGCGGGACCGGCGAGTGCAGCTGGGAAAACCAAACTGTAGCAGAGATGTTTAGAAAATATTTTTCCCTCTTTTTTTTTTTTGGTCGATATATATAATATATTGGTTCCAAGCAAAACTAGTGGGCCCTCCGTTAAGACAATGGAGGTGATATTGGGCCGTTGATCCACGTCCGTATCAGATATTAATAATTCTTAATCCAAGACTGGTACTAAAAGGCCAGCGGGAAAAACAGATATTTTTTAATGAACAATTGATAAAAAGTAATAAATGAAATATGGAAGTTATTAGTAGTAGTTATGATTTCAAAAAATATGAGTGTGGATTTTTCTTTTTCTTGGGTTTTTGATAAATATAAGAGTTAACAGTCATCTAATTTGTCGTGAAACGGGGGTAAAAATAGACAAATTATAACGATATACTATCTTTTTTAACACTCTACTGCTCTATCTGTAGAGAAATATTGGAAATACTAAAAGAGATTCATACTTAGTATATTAGAAAGGGACTCATACTTAATATATTAGAAAGAGACTCATACTAATACTAAACATTATTGCTTTTTTAAAAAAATAATTGCCTAGAAAAGACTCATAATTTCCACAATAAAAAAAGAAAAGAAAAGAGGAGAGTCATAATTTCTTGTCCTCTATTATTGTGGACAAGGGATGAACTTGTTTTGTATACTAGGATTCGTATATTTCTAACTACGCTTTTTAATTAAAAAGCTATGCAAGATGTTGGAAGAAAGATATTTCAGTGAAGAAATTGAAATCCAACAACTGGCATGACAGTATCTGGAAAATTGCAAAATTTTACAACGTAGTACTTTGGTGTGATGTTAACAACCTAACATCAAGATGTTGGATTTTGCAAAGCTATGCACACAATTAGAGAGGCCATTTGAGTTGAGGTAGAGTGGTGCACTACTCGAGTCTAGATTTTGACTTGAGATAAAATAACTTAACTCGACCTCATCGATCTTTTAGAAGTTGAGTTCGAACTTGAACTCGACTTTAATTTATCTTACTTGAATTCGAACTCGAGTTTGAATTTAATTAAATCTAATCGAATTAAATCAAACTTAATCGAGCTTGTTCAAGTGTAATTGAATTTAATTGAGCATATTCAAGTCTAATCGAGTTCACGCAATAAAAATTAATATTTTACTTATAATTTTAAATAAAGAATATTATTGACATTTCATGATAATAAATATAAAAAAACTAAAAAATATATTATAAAAAGCTCGTTAGGCTCGTCAAGCCTTTGAGTATAAAATATTAGAGCTTGAATTCGACTCATGAGCTAAAAAGAATAGCTCGAACTCGAGCTCGATCTTAGTCGAAACAAGCTCGAGTTGAGTTGTTGACCGAATAGCTCGCGAGATTGAATCGAGTTACTTGGTTCAGCATCACCCTTACATACAATTTACTAAATACTTATTACAGGATGCTGTGGGAGTCGATATTTCTTGTATCTAAGGAGGGGAACAAAAAAAATAAAAAGGAAAAGGAGAAAAACGTGAATCATACATTGATGGACAAGTACCCCAAAAAACAAGAAAAAGTAGTGATTCCGTGAATTGCATTTTCCCGTAGCACATAATGTGCCAATGCATTGTTCATCTTAGAATTGAAGTAGTGGTACAAAAGGGTCCAAATGATGTTTGGTTTCAAGTACATTAGTAAGGAGATCAAGGTGTAAAGGACCCAATTTATTTATCCTTTAACATATTACTATCGCACCATGAATCTCCCTCCCATAATTTCAAGAATTACCCATATTATGGGTTGTAGTTGTTATCGCACCAAAATTGTGTCTGAAGTTTTTTGATGACATCGTTTCCAACCTGGAATGCTTTGGTAAGAACATCAGGAGAAATTGGAGGATCTGATCCGAATACAGCATTAGCAATGGTGATGACTCCTGGATTCTGGCTGCCAAAACCAGCAAAAGCAACAGCGTCGGTCTTTCCTTGGTTGAATTGGAAATGAATGAGGCCTTGCGGGAACACAAACACGTCTCCTGGATTCAAAACCTTGGTGAAGAGCTTATTCTTCATGTTCATGGCCGGATTTGAAGTGACGAAGCCAACAAGAAGAGTGCCCTCCAAAACAAAGAGGATCTCGGTAGCACGAGGGTGAATGTGGGGAGGGTTCAAACCATAAGGCGCAAAATCGAGGCGTGCTAAGGAAACACCTAAAGTGTTGAGTCCTGGAATTTGGTTCACATTTACTTGTGTTACATTAGACCCGAGTGGATTTGCTGTGCTTCCTGGCTTGTTAAGCCCAGGAAAGAAGAAATCTTTGGGTTTCACAAGCTTTGGATCCTTGCATATCTTTCCATTGACAAATACTGCATTAGCCAAGTTCAATGAAGTTAGTCTGCATGTGACAAAATTAACTAGTGCATTCATTTTAAGCACAACATGCAACAGTATAATACTATCAAAGAAAGTCACGATGAAAGTTTTGGAAATAACAGAGTTACCGGTGGCATTGGCATCAGGAACTGCCACACAAAAATCCTGCAATGGACTCGGATCAGATGCACAGACAATTGCGAAAACAAGTGTCAAGATGACTGCGGCCATATGGAAGCGAAAAGCCATGGTTATCAAAAAGGAATTATCCTACTATGATGAAACAATGTTTCTAATCAGATGGTGGAAGAATATGTGGGAAATATGCCTAATTTATAGCCATGTAAGGTTGAACTAGTCATTCTGTTTTCTTCTCTTGAAGGATAAAAAATGCTCCTTGAGTTCTTTGTAAATTATTTCTGCACAATTCAACTAATGAATGATTCTACAACAACTACTAGCGACTTCTCAATTATCTTTTCCTCATGCAAGTATGGAGAGACTCATTTGGCCATCTAGTTATTGTGAGGATCCAAACGCGGAATAAACAACTATTGAAATATTAAGTGCACAATAATTTAATGAGGAACAAGTCATAAGCATGAAAGATAGACGACATACAATATTTAACGTAGTTCGACTCCACCATTGAGCCTACATCCACGGAGAGAAACCTGTTCTTTATTAAGAGAGGAAAACCCTATACAAGAATACAATTTGAATCCAAACCCAACCCTTGTATCATCTCTCATCTCCCAAGAACCCTCTCTCACACCCCATGCATAAGGCTACATGATGCCCCTTGTGTCTCCTTGTGTTTCTCTTTGTGTGTTATGCCAACCCACCTATTTATAGATAACATTACTGTCAAAAAACCAAATAATAATTGGAAACCAATATTATTTCTTAAACCCATATAGAGTAGGAAATAACATCTAGCTAAATAAGGCTTTACTTGACTACTATTTCAAGTAACTAAAACCAATTAGGAAACTAGTTACTTCCACACAAAATAAGAATTCTACCTAAAAGAAATTAAGCCAATTTCCTAACAAATCTCCACATTGACAAAAATTTCTTTTAGCAACCATTTGCCTTCAACTACCAAATAATATGGTACCAAACTACACACCCGAATCAATACAGTCCTGACACCAAATTGATTCAATTGGCAAATGAACATGTGTAGTTATCCCGAGTCCAACCTCCAATTGACTCGTGAGAAGGTGCCTCAATTCACCATCTTCCTTTGTAGGATTTTTTCTCACCACCACTTGCAATCTGGGATCCCCTTCTGTGAGCCCTAACCCTAACTATTGAGGCAATCAAGTAGTAAAGTCACCATACTTCTTTCCATCATCAAGATTGTCTTGCCATGTGTGGTTTTCAAAACTGCACCTAAAACGAAAAACTCGTATCTGTCAGAGTCTTCTGGCGCATGAAAATTAGATTTTTTTTGTTTTTTTTGGGACACGTGCCACACCATCCAAAGAGCATAACTAAAATCTAAAATCCACCGAGATGAAGTATCAACCATTGGAGGTATGAGAAAGTCTCCACCAATTCACGTCCAAAATCAAAATTGGACTTCACCTTTTTCTTGACTCTTGAATCACCTGCCTAGATTCACCGTCAAGTATTTTTGTGCTTTTAGACTTCCCATCCTTCACCATCAATGCATTTTGCCAAACCATTGAAACAAGGATACCACTCATTAAATTGTTTAATTGGTAATAGCCACCAACCCACTTAATCTCAATAGTTAACTAGGATCCAACTACGAACCTTGAGTAGCCCAGTCTCGCAACCAAACTCTGATACCACTTGTTAGGATCCAAGTGCAGAATAAACAACTATTGAAATATCAAGTGCACAACAATTTAATGCGGAACAAGCCACAAGCATGAAAGATAGACGACACACAATATTTAACGTGGTTCGGCTCCACCATTGAGCCTACATCCACGGAGAGAAACCTGTTCTTTATTATGAGAGGAAAATCTTTTACAAGAATACAACTTGAATCCAAACCTAACCCTTGTATACCATCTCTCATCTCCCAAGAACCCTCTCTCACACCCCATGTATAAGGCTACATGATGCCCCTTGTATCTCCTAGTGTTTCTCTTTGTGTGTTATGCCAACCCACCTATTTATAGATAACATTATTGCCAAAAAACCAAATAACAATTGGAAACCAATACTATTTCTTAAACTCATATAGGGTAGGAAATAGCATTAGCTAAATAGGGTTTTACTTGACTACTACTTCAAGTAACTAAAATCAATTAGGAAACTAGTTACTTCCACACAAAATAAGAATTCTACCTAAAAGAAATTAAGCCAATTTCCTAATAGTTATAATGTTATATTATATCAAGGCCATAAGATCATGTGAGACCATCCAAGTTTACCATATGTTGGGTGACGCCAGGAGTTTTGGTGCAGCTTGAAGAGATGGTGCCATTTGATATTTCTTTCTTCCAATGCTATTTGATATTTTAACTCCTAACCTTAGTGCAATGATGCATTAGTTGCAACTAATCCGTTTAAAATTCACAGACTCGATCTAGGTTTCAGAGAGTAGCAGGAAAAAGTCAAATATATGAGAATCATCTGGGGATGTTGTATAGGATCTAATTCCATCTCTTTGTTATACAGTGCATTTGGCTTAAAAAATTCAAGTTTGAACATTTTGGCAAAAACCATGATAGGTAGTCATTTGTGTATATTTTAACTAGCTGGACTACTTCCTGCTTCATGGTGATAATTGGTGATATTGACCTTTTCCTTTCCTGTTTCTTGCCTGCGTAGCGCACAGCACGTTTGTGGACTTTTTCTTTCTTTCTTTCTAGTTTTTAGGTTTTTCGAAATCAAACTAGGACTTGCATGTATAGATTGGCAGTTATAACTTCTAAATCATATTGGAGTTGTTGAAATTTAAATTTTTTCTAGAAAGAGATTAGTTTAATTTTGCCATGTTTTATTTAAGCTATTTAATGTTGACGAAAATATGGACGTAATCCTTGATGAATTATCCTTTATTTTGCATGGAACCAATTTGAATTTACTAATTCATTTCAAAACCAAAATTTAACCAACGCAATGATGCATGGAGTGCATATTTACCCAATCAAAATTCATAGTAGTGTTTGATATATTTGTTTACATTATTGAATCAAATAATTAAAGTTAAAATTATAAGTTATCTTGCTAATTTGTTATGATTTATTCATCTTGAACAGACATTGTTTTAAAAAACATTTCTTGTAAAAATGTGCTAAAGAATTAATTTTAATGACTATTAGAGAATTCTCATACGTATCAAATATCCATCATAATATTTTCTAAACTTAGTTAATTTACATGATTAGGTAAATAATTCAAATGAAGAGCCAAAAGTTGTTAGAAGAGAAATAAAAATAAGGGATAATTTCAGAAACCTCCCTTGAGGTTTCTAATAATTTCACTTAGCTCCCCCAAATTTTAGAAAATTACAAAAATCTCCCTCGGTTCAATAAAATGACTACAATACCCTCTACTTAATAGATAATTTACCACATATGTGGGATACAAAAACCAAGCCAAAAGTAAAAGAAAATATAAAAACCTGTAACAACTCGGCATCATCCTCAACCCTACTTTAATTAACAACAGTTTCTTTTCTCTTTCCCTCCCTTTTGTTTTATCTCTTATGATTCTCTCTTTCCTACCTATAACCCCATAGTCTCTTCTACCCATCAACTACACCACCATGCAAACCTATCCGAAGTGTTTATTTTTTGTCTATTTTTTTTTGTGGTACTTAACTATCAGTCCCCTTGTTTATTTCTTTTCGTATATAATTTGCATATATTAAAGAATCAAAATTTCCAAAATTACAAATTGAGGGAGCAAATGAAAATTTCATGGTCAAATTAGATGGAAATGATGAAGATGGTTGTGACAGAGAGGAAAAAAAATGAAATTAATGGGCTATGGTTAGAAGAGAAAAAGGGATGACTCTAGGTTATGTTATTATATCTATTACGTACTCGAATCTAATATCTTCATTTAGTTTCATTTTTGTTTGATTTACAAGTATTGGTGGTGGTTTGTCATAAAGATTCGTTTCTCTGTTCATAACGCCATTGGAATATGGGGTTGCTCTTGGCATAGACATCAATAATAGTTGGCCAAGTCTTCTGTTCAAGGAAGGTGATATGCGATAGGTGTTGGGTTCACAATTTGAGATGTGAGATTAGCCAATTGACAAAATATAGTGTTAATTTCGTGCGGGAAGCTTTTGAGGGCGTTTTAGTTGGTGGTGGTGGTTATGGTCTATTTGTAAAGTGATTCGGGTAGAGTTTGGAATTTTAATGATGCCAAAATTAATAGAATTTGGAGATTAAGTTGGAGTGCAATTTTGGTAAAATTGGGATTTTAGTGATACCAAAATTGATAGAATTTGGGAATTAAATTGGAGTTTGCTTGAACGGTTGATGAAGTTTTGGGTTTACAATTATCGTGGAAGCATAGCAAATTTGGATAAAAAGGTTTGTTACTTTTTTTGTTGGTTAAATTGATCAATAAATCTTTTTTTCACATTCTTTTGATGTTATGATATTGCATAAGGGTATTTTAGGATGCTTAAGTATAATTCTAGCCTAATGGGTCTATAATGTTACTTAAATGGTAAATGCAAGGGAGGTCAGCGTAATTTTCTAAAATTGGAAGGAGCTGAGTGAAATTGTCAGAAACCTCCCAATTATCCCTAAAAATAAAAAGAACTTTATGTAATAGACTTGTTGAGAGAGATAAAAATTTTCAAGATTACTTAATCCTTTATTTATCATCTATGACACTTGTTTTTCAATTAGTTATGTCATTTGTTTGTTTGTAAATTGGCTATACCACATAGGAGAGAAAAGTCAGTGATTGCAAATATTGCTATCAGAGATATTTATACTTTACTGGCTCTTCTTCAATTTTATTTTGAGAAAAAATTTTAATTTTGCTCATTCAAGCTTAAAATGAATTACTAGAGCCATTTGAATCCACATAGGAGAAAAATAAATTTAACTAGTTTACAGCACCAAGAAACAAATTCTCATTTGCATGACCAATAAACAAACAGAGCTTAAAGGCATTTCCATTGCACTGTTTACTGTTTAGGATGTTGGTCAAACACGAACAGTCTAAAGACTCTAAACAATCGTTACATTTGCAACTTTTTCAAATGACACAACAATTGTACAAGCTATTGAACCATGCAATACATATACAAATAGGATCCGTCTAAATTTAATCATGATTCAATTCGGGTTAAAGAAACTAAAGACAACTCGTCATCTTAAAGACATTTTTATGTTTGCCAAGGAAGATGGTACTTTTTAAGGATGGCAATGGGGCGGGTGGCCGCGGGTACCTGCCCCACGGGGGACTAATGGGGCGGGGGCGGGGAACAGTCCTCCGGCCTGCCACCCGCTTAAAAAAAATAAATATATGTATATAAGTATATATTATTATTTAATTTAATTAGTTATAAATTTATGATAATGATACTATTAGTTATATGTCTTATATAATGTATATTCGTATATGTAATATAATTGATATTATCAATTATACTAATAGTTATATATATCAATTAATAGAAATTATTAATTAATTATATTAAATTTACTAATACATTTATACTAAATCTCTAATTATACTTAATACAATAACATTTTTTTCTCAAAAAAAAAAAAGCACAAGCACAATAATAAATTAGTGATTGTATTTGTGCCAAAAGTGAAAACTTAACTACTTTAGTTATATTTATTTCATCATATTGGATTATATTCAAATAACTTTTGTTAGATTGTTTTTATAAGTTTCAATAGTGAAATTACAATGAATAATAATTTGGTGATGTCTTGATATTTTAGTACTTGATTTTTGGTAAAATTTAACTATAATAAAATTATATAACAAATTTTTATTAGTTCCGCGGGAGCACCCATAGGGGAAGCGGGGTGGGGCGAGGGGAGCGGGAGGCGAGGGACGGGGGGGAAGGGGGCAATTTGTAGGCAGCCGGGCCGGGGGTGGGGGAGAGGTCCCCGTCCCAACCCCACCCTGTTGCCATCCTTAGTACTTTGCTCTTGCAATGAACCAACAAAGACTTGGTAGGCATCTTTTAACACATCCAAGTTTGAGGCTATGTTTTCATATTCGGACTGGATATCGACTCGATTGAGCTCAGGGTCAGGGATCGATGGGTTTAATCGGAATTGAATCGGATGATGTCATAAATAAAAATTATTTAAAAATTAAAATATTGTATGTCAAATACCTAAGAGCATGTTAATATTAATAAAGATATATTCATATATATATATGTATATATATATATTTGATGTTTCAAATATATTTAATAAGAAAATACAAAAAAATAGAACAATTAAGTAGCAATTTATATTATTCAATGAACATTAATAAGTTTAGAATTAAAATTATGGATTTGATTGAAAAATGACACCCAACTTTAGGACAACATTTATAAAGACGAAATATTTGAGGTATATTAATAATTTTAACAACCTAGGGGTCAAAACATAGTTTTGAAAATGCTTTGACCTTTTCAAAAAAAAAAAGGAAAGCTTTGACACAATTTGTTCTTCCGGTTTCTATCCATCCGGTTTTTCAGGATAACTCGGATCGGACACCTGGCCGATTTCTGGTTTGACCGATCCAGTCCGAGTTTAAAAACATGAGCATAATTACGAGAAAATTCTTAAGCTCTTTCTGCCTCAAACAATTCACCTTCATGAAGGTTGTTAAGATCTTTCTGCCTTTGATGCTGGTTGGCTGCCATTCCCTTGGTCTTTTCAACACAAACTAGCATAGTTCCACAGCAGTAGTTGTATTTGTAGACTGAGCAGCAAGGTCGAGTACCTTCTACTGCTTTAGGATAGAGAAAAATAAATAAATAAAACAACGCCAAAAGTTTCTCTAGCTTATAATTCCTGTCACCTAAATGAACAAATGAGCGAACAACAATGTCATGCAAATATCTGAAATTTCTTGTTGGCTTCATTATATGCAAGATATGATAGGCTTTCATGGTGTTAACAATCTGACAAATAGATATTTTGGATTCTGCAAGGTTTTTTTTTTTTTTTTTTTTGTGGTTGTTGTTTTGGGTATGAGATTTTGCTGCACTTTGAATACTGTTTACAAGTGCTCCAAAGGCTTCACACTGGACAATTAAAGTATGGGATAGAGAGTCATCCAGTCCTTGGAGATGCAGGATGCATGCATTGTTTTAATCTAGAAGAGTTCACTTTTCCTGTAATAAAATTCTAAAAGTAAAAGAAAAAACAAATTTGCTTCATTTATTGATTGTATCTGAGAGTACAAAATTAGGGAAAAAAGTAGCGATTCCACAAATTACATTTTTCCTAAACCAAGGAAAATGCCAGTGCATTATTGTTCACAGAATTAGTGTACTAACAATGGGATCCGAATAATGTATGATATAAAGTAATTAAGGAGACCAAAGTGTAAATTAAGGACCCAATCCAATGATTTATGCACCCTGAAGCTCCTTTGGAGGGTATTACCCATATTATGGGTAGTAGTGGTTATCCCACCAAAATTGTGACTGAAGATATTTGATGACTTTCTTGTCAACTTGGAATGCTTTGGTGAGAACATCAGGATAAATGGGAGGATTTGATCCAAAAACAGCATTACCAATGGTGATGACTCCTGGATTCTGGCTGCTTAGAGCAGCAAAAGCAACAGCATTGGAATGTCCCTGGTTGAACTGAAAATGAATGAGGCCTTCGGGGAACACAAACACATCGCCAGGATTCAAAACCTTGGTGAAGAGCTTGTTCTTCATGTTCATGCCTGGATTCGAAGTAACGAAGCCAACAAGAAGAGTGCCTTCTAAAACAACGAGGATCTCGGCAGCACGAGGGTGGGTGTGGGGAGGGTTCAAACCGTAAGGTGCAAAGTCGAGGCGTGCTAAGGAAACACCTAAAGTGTTGAGTCCTGGAATCTGGTTGACATTTACTGCTGTTACATTCGATCCGAGTGGATTTGATGTGCTTCCTGGCTTGTTAAGCCCTTGAAAGAAGAAATCTTCGGGTTTCACGAGCTTTGGATCTTTGCATATCTTTCCATTCACGAATACTGCAGTAACAAAGATCAGCTTAGTTAGTTTGCCACACGTTATTTTGTTATAATTCAAGTATAACATGCAACAGTCGAGAAATTTTCGAAAGCAATATATATAGTTTACCGCCGGCATTGGCATCAGGAACTGCCACACAAAAGTCCTGCAATGGACTTGGATCAGATGCATGGACACTTGTAAAAACAAGTGCCAAGATGGCTGCAGCTATATGGAAGCGAAAAGCCATGGTCATCAGAAAGTAAGTATCGAACTGTATGAGCTAATCAGAAAGATGGAAGCTTGTTTCTTCTCTGGTGGTGGAAGGATATGTGGGAAAGATGTCTATTTATAGCTATTTTTGGTTGAACTGTTCAGTCTGTTTCATTGTCTTAAAGGATAAAAAATGCTCCTTAAGGTCTTTGTAGACTTTTTCTGCACAATTCAACTCATGAATGATTCTACAACAACTACTTGCACAGTTATCTTTTCCTCGTGCAGGTACGGTCAGACTGATTTGGTCATTTATTATATCAAGTCCATAAGGTCATGTAAACAGAGGATCAGGAGGCTCTCCGGTTGATATTCAGTTCAATCCAATCGTTGTAATTCTTACAATTTCTAGCATAAATTCATACGATTTTGATTTAGTTGCAAATATATATATTGTAGGACAGATTAGACTTTATCTCCTGTGATTTAGTATTTTTGTACATAATACCCCTATAATTTCAAAAACTATACGTAACCCTACCATTGTTTCGATTAAAGTATCAAAATGACGAAATGATCATTTGTAACGGAACCTATGAAATGTCGAAATTACCCTTCTTTAAAAATTAAAATAACTGAAGTGACCAAAATATATGAACATAATATGCATGATACACTAATTTCGTATGGTTTAATGTTTTACCATATAACCCCCTTGTGGTTTAATGCTTGTCAAAATATACACAAAACTCCCCTATGGTTAATAAATAATTTTCAACTTAATATAGGGGTATTTTTGATATTTTAGGTGACTCTGTTATGAATTACAAATTCCGTCACTTTGACACTTTAATTCAAATCATGAGAGAGTTATGTATAGTTTTTGAAACCATATGGGGGTTATGTATAAAAACACTAACTCACAGGGAAGTAAAGTATAATTTGGCCTATATTGTATGATATGACAAAATCCACGTTTACATTAAAATTGCAATATTTACACCAAATATTGTATGAATTACATAACATACGGCATTGAACAAAATTTCAACCTGATCTGTAAAAATATTTCCATGTTTACCGTATTAACTATTGGCCACATAAAGTTATGTTTCCTGATGCATGGACTTTTGGCGCAGACGCGGTAGAAGCGAGACTCTTTCTTGAAGAAATTGCCTTTGAAAATGATTTAATTACTTTGCTTAATTAATTCATTAGTCACAACTAATAAAATGATGCATTAGTCACAACTAATCCATTTAAAATTCACAGACTCTATCCAACTTTACATAGTAGCAGATGGGATCGGCAAGAAAGAGTCAAATATATGAAAATGATTTAATTACTTTGCTTAATTAATTCATTCTCATTTGGCTTCAGAACTCGAATTTCCACCTTCTTTTGCAAAACCAACGATATGTAATTATTTGTGTGTATTATATTGACTGAATGGACTACATTCTGCTTCAAGGTAATTGCATGTAAATGGACCTTTTCATTTTATGTTTTCTTGTCTTATGTATCTTAGCACGTGGATACATTCAAATTTTGGACGAAACCAATTTTCAATGACTCATTCAAATTCAAAACCAGACTTTAAACCTAAGCATGTATATTACCCAATCAAATTTCACAGCAGTGATTTGATATTTTCCTTTACATCATTAATTAAAGTTAGAATTGTAAATCATCTTGCTCATTCATATGATTCATTCATCTTGAACAGACCTTGTCTTGAAAATTTGGGGAAATTTTCATGCAAAAACTGGGCTAAAGAATTATTTTTAATGGCTATTCATTAACCAACCTTGTTTATGTATCAATATTGCGATTGCAATAGTTATTAAGCTTAGTTACTTTATATAATTATAATAATAGTCCAAATGAAAGGGAAAAATGATACTTTGGGTCCCCAATATTTGGAAATTGAACAATTTCTGTTCCTAAAAATTCATTGGGAATACATTTTGTCCCTATGATTCCAATCTACAATCACTTTATTATAGCAAATCAACCAATTTGGATGGAAATTTTTTTGACAAATAGCTCATTTAGTCCTTTCACTTGTTATGCTAAGTGTTTTTAGTCCATGATGTTTTAATCCCATTTAGTCTTTTTACTTTTTCTCTCGCCCAAAAAATAGTTCTTATTTCACTTCCTTCCATCACCAATTACACCGGTATTAAAAGGGTGTGACCAAAATTTTCAACTTTCTCTTTAAGAAAAAAAAATCTTTACTTTCTTCTCATTTTTAAATTTATTTTTTTAAGCAAGAAAATGTGGGATGGAAGAAGGGGGAATTTTAACTCAATACTTCTAATTCCTGAGTTTTGATTTTAACCACTAGACAATGCCTTCGGCAAACTTCTTCTTATTTGTTTTTGTTTTCTTTTTCATATAATTTCTTCCTTTTCTTTTTTACTTTCTTCAACTATTTTCACTATTTTTCTTTTCATATAATTTATTCTTTTTCACTAATCCTCTATGCCTCTCTCTCTCTCTCTCCCCCCCCCATTTAATACATTTACTTTTTTTTTTAAAACACCAAAACTTCCTTGACTAGAAAAATTTTTGCACCATCAAATTAGGCTGCTTTAATGGGCATGACAAGGGGTCCAACCATTCGTTCTTTGTTAAAATGTCTTTTTACATAAAATATAAAGAAAATGGACAAGTAGACAAAGGTAAAAGGGAGAAAAAGAAATAAAATAATAATTAATATAAAGGGGAACTTTTGTCCTAAAACATAAATTAGGGGAGCAAAGTGCCTATTTATTGAATTGAGGGGTAAAGCATAATTAAGGGTAAAGTTTAGGAGAGTTTAATGCTTTTAACCCTTCATTTTACCTTATCGTAAGCTTATAATAGGCATTGTATCGCGGAGCCAAATAATGTTTTGGTATGTATCAATGAAATCAAAAACAGTTTTATACGTGATTATATTTGGCTAAATATTTTTGTTGTTACATGAATTTCCAATTAGACCTCTTTTCAGTATGCATATACTGCATTTAGCTAGACACGAATTCCGTAGAGAAGTTCACATCAATGTGGGATATGATACCTTTCCGTGGTGTAAACAACCTAACATATTTTGGATTTGGGATAATTTCAGATACCTCCCTCGATGTATCTGATAATTACACTTAAATGCCCTCTAAAATTAAAAATTATGCTCACCTCCCTTTCATGGACACATTTGATAAATATTGCAGCCTTTATCATTAAAAGAAAGTTAAAAAAAAAGTAGGAAAATGTATTGACACATAAATTTTTGTCAACTTTAGCCTCTTTATATTTTGAACGAAACATTTACCATGTTGCTTATAAAAATTAATTAAAAAAGAGAAAAAAGATATAGAAAGCAGTAGGGATCCTCTCAATATAACAAAGAGTACATATACAATTCTGCACTTTTGACCGTTAAATGTAAGAAGAGCTGGATATGATGCAATGGCTCTATCTTGGTAGCTCATAAGCTAGATAAAGTGTAAAAATGCATGCTATTTTCAACTCTTGACATTCTTCTTCTCTATGGCAGTTAAGGAATAATAAAATCAATTTTGCTTCTCATGATAACATTTGAGAAATGACATAATCAAATTTTCTTTTGCAGATGCTCGTGCCAAAAAACAAATAAAAAATATTGTTGTTGTAGGCAATTTTTTTCTCACATTTTTGCAATAATATCAGTCACAACATTTTGAGGGTAAGTTGGTCATTAGGAGGCTTTTGGTGCTGACATGTTGTCAAATCCATCACAGAGGGGAGGTAAGTGTAATTTTGAATTTTAGAGGGTATTTAAGTGCAATTGTTAGAAACTTCAAGAGATGTATCTGAAATTATCCCTTTGGATTTAGCAACGCTTTTTCTTGTTCTTCAAAGGGGGCGAGATTTTGCAACACTTCGAATACCTGTTACAAGCGCTCCAAAGGTTTTTCTACTGAACAATTAAAATTTAAAGTATGGTATAGAGAGTTCATCCAGTCCGTGGAGATGCATGATGCATTCTTTTAATCTAACAGAGTTCATCTTTCCTGTATCCAAATGTAAAAGAAAAAACAAATGTACTTCATATATTGATTATAACTTTAGGGTACCAAAATTAAGAAAAAAATGTAGTGACCATAAATTGCATTTGCCTGTACCACAAAAAATGCCAATTTATTACACTTCATCGAACTATTGCGCTAACAAAGGGGTCCAAATAATGTATGATTTAAGTAAGGAGATCGAAGTGTAAATGAAGGACCCAATTATTCGTGCATCCTGAAGCTCCTGTGGAGAGTATTACCCATATTACGGGTAGTAGTGGTTATCCCACCAAAATTGTGACTGAAGATATTTGATGACATTCTTGTCAACCTGGAATGCTTTGGTGAGAACATCAGGAGAAATGGGAGGGTTTGATCCAAAAACAGCATTAGCAATGGTGATCACTCCTGGATTCTGGCTGCTTAGAGCAGCAAAAGCAACAGCATTGGTGTGTCCTTGGTTGAACTGAAAATGAATGAGGCCTTCAGGGAACACAAACACATCTCCTGGATTCAAAACCTTGGTGAAGAGCTTATTCTTCATGTTCATGCCTGGATTCGAAGTAACGAAACCAACAAGAAGAGTGCCCTCTAAAACAACGAGGATCTCGGTAGCACGAGGGTGAGTGTGGGGAGGGTTCAAACCATAAGGTGCAAAGTCGAGGCGTGCTAAGGAAACACCTAAAGTGTTGAGTCCTGGAATCTGGTTCACATTAACTGCTGTTACATTGGACCCGAGTGGATTTGCTGTGCTTCCAGGCTTGTTAAGCCCTGGAAAGAAGAAATCTTCGGGTTTAACGAGCTTTGGATCCTTGCATATCTTTCCATTGACAAATACTGCATTAGCCAAGATCAAAAAAAGTTAGCATGCCTCGTATTAACTAGTACCTTAGTGAAGCATAACATGCAACATTGTAATACTGTTAAATAAGACAGTCATGAGATTTTTCATGGTAATAGAGAGTTTACCGCCGGCATTGGCATCAGGAACTGCAACACAGAAATCCTGCAATGGACTTGGATCAGATGCATGGACAACTGCAAATGCAAGTGTC